AGGTGAGACCCTCCCCCGCCGGCCCTCCCCTCCCCCGGCCGACCCTCCCCCCCAGGCCGGCCCTCCCCCCTCCCCGGACCAACCCTCCCCTCCCCTGGGCCGACCCCCCCCTCCCCCAGGCCGGCCCTCCCCCCTCCCCAGACCAACCTTCCCCCCCTCCCCTGGGCTGACCCTCCCCTCCCCTGGACCAAACCCCCCCCCCAGGCCGACCCTCCACCCTCCCCCAGGCCACCAGAACCACCCACGCCACCTCAGGCTGCCACCCTCCCTCCCCTCCCCTCCCCCCCCCCGCCCCGCGCACACCCCCTGACCAGCAAGGCCCACGGAGGGACTGGGTCAGGCTGGAGCCCCTGCCTGGGGACAGCGCCGCTCTGCCTGAGCCTGCCCAGATGGAGGGGCCCGCCTGACGCCCAGCCCTCCACACAGAGAGCCAGTGCCCCCAGCCAGGCCCAGCCCCCCCACAGCCCCCAGCCAGGCCCGGCCCCCCCCACAGCCCCCAGCCAGGCCCGGCCCCCCCACAGCCCCCAGCCAGGCCTGGCCCCTCCAGTGCCCCCAGCCAGGCCCGGCCCCCCCACAGCCCCCCGCCAGGCCCTGCCCCCCAGTGCCCCCAGCCAGGCCCGGCCCCCCAGTGCTCCCAGCCAGGCCCGGCCCCCCAGTGCCCCCAGCCAGGCCCGGCCCCCCCAGTGCCCCCAGCCAGGCCCGGCCCCCCCCAATGCCCTCAGCCATGCCTGGTCCCCCCCTGCCCTCTCCCTCCCCCCCCCAGCTTCCCTTCCCAGCCAGCCTGGCCCCTGGGCCCTGGGTGCAAATCTGTGAACGGCTGCATAGTGAGACGTGTGTGTGCACGCATGTGCATAGACGTGTATGCCTGTGCGCACATGCAAACACATGCACACTCACAGGTGCACACATATACACATGTGCACACTTGCACACGCACACTTGGACATGCAGGTGCACACACATGCACATGCACACATGTGCACACACATGCATAAATGTGTATGCCTTGTGCATGTGCACACGCACTCATGCACACATGTACACATGCTCACGTGGACGTGCATGTGCACAGATGTGCTCATGTACACGCATGCACGCACGTGTACACACGTGCACACACGCGTGCACATGCGTGCAGGGGCGCAGGCGCGACTCTGCCTGGCCAGCGCTGTTGCTTGCACCGCTGGGCCAGGCGGCTGGGCTCCCTGCCACCCGGGAAGGGTTTCCCAGTCAGCCAAGCCGCAGGGCTGGAGCCGTGTGGGGGCAGCACGCGCTTGCTAACACCGGCTCAGAGAGGCTGGATGATCAGTCCAAACTCCTACAGCTCCCAAGTGGGAAGCGTGGGGATTTGAACCCATGACCTTCTCAGTGGTTTCATGGCCATGGTAAAGATCTCAGCATGACTGGAACAACAGCAAACCCAGCAGGACCGGTGGGCTGGGCCCCAGCCTCCTCCGCCCTCCTCCACCTGCTTCCTCCCCCTCTACCGGGCCCAGTGCAGTTGGAGGAGGGTCCTCCCATTGCTCAAACCAGAGGCCTGAGGGAGAGCGCGCCTGGCCTGCGCCAGCCCAGCCTCCGCCCTGGGGCTGGACCTCCGCCTCAGGCTCTGCCTCCCAGCTGCTCTGCACTTCCGTCCCAAGCCTGGCAGCGCGGCCTGTGGCTGCTGGCGGGGACCCCAGGGCCCCTGGAAGAGGGCCTAGCCAGCCAGGGCCTCACGGTTCCTCCGTCCCTCCCCCCCAGGCCCTGCCCTACGTGGCTCTCTTGATTGTGATGCTCTTCTTCATCTACGCCGTGATTGGCATGCAGGTAGGAGCCCCCTTGCCCCCCCCCGCCCTCCCAGCCCCCAGCACCACCTTCCCTGCCCCCCCCACCCTCCCTGCCCCCCAGCACCACCTTCCCTGCCCCCCCCCCGCCCTCCCTGACCCCAGCACCACCCTCCCTGCCCCCCCCCCTCCCAGCCCCCAGCACCACCCTCCCTGCCACCCTCCCCCCCCCCCGCCCTCCCAGCCCCCAGCACCACCTTCCCTGCCGCCCCCCCGGCTTCTTCTAGCTCCTCCCGAGTAGCTGGGATTACAGGAGTGTGCCACCAGGGTTGGCCCCAGGAAGGTGCATCACTCCCGCAGGGCCCACTGCGCCTCTCTCCTTCCCCAAAGCCCGGTTCCCCCCCCCCCCAGAGAGGGGTCCCTGTCCCCCAGCACCTCCCCACACCCTCCCCAGCCCCCAAGATCTCTCCCCAGGGTCAAGGGTCGTTCTCAGAGCACTGGGCCCCTGAGGGGTGGTCGGGCCTAGGCTGGCCTTGGCCTGGACGGGCCTTGCCACCTCTTCGGTCTCCCGACAGGTGTTTGGGAAAATCGCCCTGAACGACACCACAGAAATCAACCGGAACAACAACTTCCAGACCTTTCCTCAGGCGGTGCTGCTGCTCTTCAGGTGGGGCTCTGAGCCCGGGAGGGGTGGCCGTGGAAAATGGAGGGGGCCAGGTGGAAGCCGACGCGCGTGGCCCGGTCCATGCCAGGCTGGGCGTGGGTTTGTGGCTGGTCTGTGCCGGGCAGGCGTGGGTTTGTGGCCGGTCCGCGCCGGGCGGGGCGTGGGGCGCGTGGCCGGTCCACGCCGGGCGGGCGTGGGTTTGTGGCCAGCGCTCCGTTCTGGCCCCGGCCTCCCCCTGGCTCCGGCGGGCGCGGGGCTGCCCGGCAGCAGAGTCTCCGCTCTGGCCGCAGGTGTGCCACGGGCGAGGCGTGGCAGGACATCATGCTGGCCTGCATAGCCGGGCAAGAAGTGCGCCCCGGAGTCGGAGCCGGGCAACAGCACGGAAGGGGGAGCTGCCCTGCGGCAGCAGCTTCGCCGTCTTCTACTTCATCAGCTTCTATATGCTCTGTGCCTTCCTGGTGAGCGCAGGGCCAGGGGAAGACCCCGCCGGGGGACGCCAGCCGCCGGCCCGGGACGTGGTGTCCGGGGACTGGCCGGCGTCCAAGGCTTTGCCTGCGTGGGAGCGGCAGGGCGGCGGCTGGGGGAGGGAGGGGGAGAGGGGAGGGAGAGGGAGGGGAGGAAGGAGGAGGGAAAAGGAGGGGAAGGAGGAGGGGGGGAGGGAGGGGAGTGAGGGAGGGGGGGAGGGGAAGGGGGGTCACCCAGGCTGCGCTCCGCAGATCATCAACCTCTTTGTGGCCGTCATCATGGACAACTTCGACTACCTGACCCGGGACTGGTCCATCCTCGGCCCACACCACCTGGACGAGTTCAAGAGGATCTGGGCGGAGTACGACCCTGAGGCCAAGTGCGTCCTGGGCACCCCACGCTGGGGTGGGGGACGGAGGGAGAGACCCCACACTGAGAGAGGACGGAGGGACAGACCCCACACTGAGAGAGGACGGAGGGACAGACCCCCACACTGAGAGAGGACGGAGGGACAGACCCCACACTGAGGGAGGACGGAGGGACAGACCCCACGCTGAGGGAGGACGGAGGGACAGACCCCACGCTGAGAGAGGACGGAGGGACAGACCCCACGCTGAGGGAGGACGGAGGGGACAGACCCCACGCTGAGGGAGGACGGAGGGACAGACCCCACGCTGAGGGAGGACGGGAGGGACAGACCCCACGCTGAGAGAGGACGGAGGGACAGACCCCACACAGAGAGGACGGAGGGACAGACCCCCACACTGAGGGAGGACGAAGGGACAGACCCCACACTGAGGGAGGACGGAGGGACAGACCCCCACGCTGAGACAGACCCCACGCTGAGGGAGGACGGAGGGACAGACCCCACACTGAGAGAGGACGGAGGGACAGACCCCACACTGAGGGAGGACGGAGGGACAGACCCCACACTGAGAGAAGATGGAGGGACAGACCCCACACTGAGGGAGGACGGAGGGACAGACCCCACGCTGAGACAGACCCCACGCTGAGGGAGGACGGAGGGACAGACCCCACACTGAGGGAGGACAGACGGAGGGACAGACCCCCACACTGAGAGAGGATCGGAGGGACAGACCCCACACTGAGGGAGGACAGAGGGACAGACCCCACACTGAGAGAGGACAGAGGGACAGACCCCACGCTGAGAGAGGACGGAGGGACAGACCCCACGCTGAGAGAGGACGGAGGGACAGACCCCACGCTGAGAGAGGGACGGAGGGACAGACCCCACACTGAGGGAGGACGGAGGGACAGACCCCACGCTGAGGGGAGGACGGAGGGACAGACCCCACGCTGAGGGAGGACGGAGGGACAGACCCCACGCTGAGAGAGGACGGAGGGACAGACCCCACGCTGAGGGAGGACGGAGGGACAGACCCCACGCTGAGGGAGGACGGAGGGACAGACCCCACGCTGAGGGAGGACGGAGGGACAGACCCCACGCTGAGAGAGGACGGAGGGACAGACCCCACACTGAGGGAGGACGGAGGGACAGACCCCACGCTGAGGGGAGGACGGAGGGACAGACCCCACGCTGAGAGAGGACGGAGGGACAGACCCCACACTGAGGGAGGACGGAGGGACAGACCCCACACAGAGAGAGGACGGAGGGACAGACCCCATGCTGAGGGAGGACGGAGGGACAGACCCCACACTGAGGGAGGACGGAGGGACCACAGGTCCCAGAGGGGCCGGTTTGGGTCAGCCAGCTGGAGCCCTGGACCGCACAAGCCCAGGGTGGGGGTGCTGTACTCTGAGCCATTCCCCCGTCCCGCCCCACGATTGAGGACGTCCCGAGGGAGGGGGTGGGGTGCTGTCCTCTGAGCCATTCCCCTGTCCGCCCCACGATTGAGGACGTCCCGAGGGAGGGGCGGGAGACCACCGTGGCCTCTGCCCGTCCCCCAGGGGCCGGATCAAGCACCTGGACGTGGTGGCCCTCCTCCGGAGGATCCAGCCTCCGCTGGGCTTCGGGAAGCTGTGCCCTCACCGCGTGGCCTGCAAGGTGAGGCTGCCCACGCTGCGGAGGAAGAGGAGGAGGAGGAGGAGGAAGAGGGGGAGGAAGAGGAGGAGGAGTGGAGGAGGAAGAGGAGGAGGAGGAGGGGGAGGAAGAGGAGGAGGAGTGGGGAGGAGGAAGAGGAGGAGGAGCAGGAGCAGGAGGAGGAAGAGGAGGAGGAGCAGGAGGAGGGAGGAGGGGGGGAGGAGGGGAAGGAAGAGGGGGGAGGAGGGGGAGGAGGAGGGGAAGGAAGGAGGGAGGGGGAGGGGGGGAGGGGGGAGGGGGAGAAGGCGGGAGGAGGAGGAGGAGGGGGAGGAGGAGGGAGGGCTGCGGGCGGTGGGGCCCCCGTGGACAGCGCACTCGCGTGTGGACCATCCGCTCACGCGTGTGGACCATCCGCTCACGCGTGTGGACCATCCTCTCCCGTGGACCGTCCTCCTCCCGTGGACCGTCCATTCATGGAAGCAGAGAATGGGGGGAATGCAGGACGCCGCACCCACGGCTCTGTTTTACTCAGGCTTCTCTAACTCGGACCCCTCTCGCTTTATTCCACTTCCACAAGCGATTTTTCAGGTGCTTTCCAGGGTACAGGGAAATGTAAACGGGCTTTCTGATGGCACCGGGGTTTGAACTCAGGACCCCGTGCTCCCGAGGCTGGAGGGCAGAGCAGCCTGAGCTGGCTGTGGGAAAGGTTGAGAAGAGGCCGTGCTGGCCCAGGATTCCTCCTGGGGCGGGGCGGGGGGAACCCCACCGCAGGGCCCAGGGCTCAGCTACCCGGGAGGCAGAGATGGGGGACCCTGTCTCGAGGCCAGCCCAGGCCTAAAAGCTCATGAGATGCCATTTCCACAATGGCTGGACGCCTAACTTTCTAGAGACAAAGGGAAGACACAAACCAAGGCCCTCTCTCAAAGATCACCAACACAAAAAGGGATTGGAGGGGGGGAATGCATACATCAAGTGGTAGAGCACCCAGTCTGGCAAGCCCGAGGCCCTGAGTTCAAATCCCAGCACTGCCAGAAAAGAGAACAAAGAAAGAAGCAACGGCCTGCTGTCATCTCTCCCTCCCGCCAGCGCTGGTCTCCATGAACATGCCCTTGAACAGCGACGGCACCGTCATGTTCAACGCCACCCTGTTTGCCCTGGTCCGAACGGCCCTGAGGATCAAGACCGAAGGTAGGCCCAGCCCTCCTGGGGCCGCAGGGTGGAAGGGAGAGCTGGCCGGCGGTCGGGGGGTGCGTTGGCGTCCACCGAGCTGGGCTTGACCCCTCCCTGCTGCTGGCCCCAGGTGGTTGGGCCGGGCGGTCAGCCGGTCAGTGGTCAGCTGGCGGTTCCCTTCCCAGCCTCTGCGGTCCTTCAGCCTGCCAGGGAGGCGGAGGGGGAATTTGTGGGGCCAAGCCCCACCCCCGTGACCCACCCCTGGGACTGAGGCCGCCAGTGTCAACCACCCTCCCTCCCTCCCTCTCCTCAGGAAACCTAGAACAAGCTAATGAGGAGCTGCGGGCCATCATCAAAAAGATCTGGAAGCGGACCAGCATGAAGCTGCTGGACCAGGTGGTGCCCCCTGCCGGCGGTGAGTGCCGGCCGCACACCACGGTCCCGGTTCCCCAGCCGCCCAGCCGGCCGGGCCTGTGGGGTCTTCTCCTCCCCCACTCCCTGGGCCCTGAGACCTGGGTGGCACAGAGCCTGCTTCCTCCAGACCCCACTGTGGGTCCAGGGACCAGGGCCGCGTGGCCCACACAGGCCGGAGGCAGGGGCTTAGGGTTGGAAATCGGGTCCTGGGAAGCACATTCCAGTTGCCCTGGAATTGCTCTAGAAAAGAGGGAGAGCCGGGGCACCGGTGGCTCCTGAGATCTGAGGATCGCGGTTCAAAGCCAGCTGGGGAAGAAAGTCCACGAGACTCTGATCTCCAAGGAACCACCAGAAAACCAGAAGTGGCGCTGTGGCTCAAGCGGTAGAGCACCAGCCCTAAGCTGAAGAGCTGAGGGACAGCGTCCAGGCCCCGAGTTCAAACCCCATGACTGACTAAATAAATGAATGAATGAATAAATAAATAAAAGCAGGGACTCTTCACGCAGGGTCCTGAACTTTGATCACAGAATAGGAATTTCTGGACAAGTCTCAAGGATTAAGAAAACTGGGTGGAGCGATACTAAATAGGCAAATGAGCCAGCCGGCAAGCGAGCTTGCGTGCAGACACAGCTGCCGCCGCAGGGCAGAGCGAGGCTCTGACGGGGCTGGGGCTCTAACCGGGCTGGGGCTCTAACCAGGCTGGGGCTCTGACTGGCCTGGGGCTCTGACCGGGCTGGGGCTCTGACCGGGCTGGGGCTCTAATCAGGCTGGGGCTACAAAGGAGGGTCCCTGGGCTCTCCGGTATTTGCGTGTTAGAGACCAAGGGCTTGACTGTAAAGGGATTTGAAGCACGGTGTTTTATCTGTGCTCTAATGGTTCTCGGGGAGTGCTTTCTGGTTTCGGGTGTTGGGCCTCCTCTTCCTGGTCCGCACGCCTCCGGCCTTGAGATACGGAAAGCCTCGGTCGTCTGCGGTGGGGCCTGGAGGTGGCTTACGTGTTGGGGGCGCGTTTCTCTCCGGAAGGCCCCCATCCCGCCAGACACGTGCTCATTCTTGGGGGTGAGAGCGTGCATCTCTGGGGAAGGAACGCGTCCGGTGGCTTTTCTTGGGAGCACAGAGGGCGCTTCTGTTTTTAACTACCTGGTTTCCGAATTGCCTTCACCGGCGCCTCGGTTTCCCTAACTGATCCTACCACCCACCTCCCCCCTTCATCCCCCAACCCACCCTCCTCGGCCTCCAGCCCCTTGCCCTCCCTCCTTGCCCGCCCTCCTCTGGGCTTCTCGGAGGAACCTGCCACTGGAGGCTGGAAGAGAGTAAGAGTCAGGAGGAGATGGGTGGGGAATTTTGGGGGAGGTCTGTCATGGGTCTTGAACTCTGGGCCTGGGTGCTGTCCCTCAGCTCTTCAGCTCAAGGTGAGCACTCTGCCACTTGAGCCACAGTGCCACTTCTGGTTTTCTGGTGGTTCATTGGAGATCAGAGTCTCACAGACTTTGCTGCCCGGGCTGGCTTAGAACCACGATCCTCAGATCTCAGCCTCCTGAGTCGCTGGGATGACAGGCGTGAGCACCGGTGCCCAGCTAGGGAGATAATTTTAAAGAGCCCCTTTTTCTGTGGGAGGAGGGGAACAGCCAAGCATGGTGACACCTCACAGACGCCAGCCCCTCAGGAGGCTGGGGGGGCGCGCCCAGGCCGTGAGTTCAAGCCCCACCACCCCTAAGTCAATAACAAATGAACCAATAAATAAATAAGATAGAGGTTGAGGGGCTCAGTCGCAGTAAGGAAGCTGACCCCGGGCCTGCTCGGGCTCTTCTTCCCTCCGTGTGTGTCTCAGATGACGAGGTGACCGTTGGCAAGTTCTACGCCACCTTCCTGATCCAGGAGTACTTCCGGAAGTTCAAGAAGCGCAAGGAGCAGGGCCTGGTGGGCAAGCCCTCGCAGCGGAACGCGCTGTCGCTGCAGGTGAGGCCCGGGGCGACGGGAGGCGAGGGGGGCGGGGGGCGCTCGCCGTCCATCCTTCCATCCGCCTGCTTTCCCGGCCTTCCATGGCAACCCAGGTCCCCGCCCCTGCTCCTCTGGAGCCCAGGCCTGGCCTCGGGGCTTGGGGGTCGGGGGCCCGTCCTCACGCGCTCCCTGGTTCCAGGCTGGCTTGAGGACCCTCCACGACATCGGGCCTGAGATCCGACGGGCCATCTCCGGAGACCTGACGGCCGAGGAGGAGCTGGACAAGGCCGTGAAGGAGGCTGTGTCCGCCGCGTCCGAGGATGACATCTTCAGGGTAGGCCCGGCCCCTGGCACCCCCCGGCTGTGGCCCGTCGGAGCCCCCCCTCCCACCGCCGGCTTCCCGGCCACTCCAGCCCCCCCCCCCCCGCTCGGGGAAGGCCCCCCCACGCCGGGGGCCTCTCCTCCACCCATCCCTCCCTCCTGCTGCAGAGGGCCGGCGGCCTGTTTGGCAATCACGTCACCGCCTACTACCCAAGCGACAGCCGCAGCCCCTTCCCGCAGACCTTCACCGCACAGCGCCCGCTGCACATCAGCAAGACCGCTGGCGCCCCGGGGGACACCGAGTCCCCGTCCCACGAGAAGCTGGTGGACTCCACGTTCACCCCCAGCAGCTACTCCTCTGCAGGCTCCAACGCCAACATCAACAACGCCAACAACACGGCGCTGGGCCTCCTCCCGCGCCCCGGCGGCCACCCCGGCGCCCTGAGCACGGTGGAGAGCCACGGCGGCGGCGACCCCCTGGCTCCCGCCGGCCCCGGGCAGGACGCGGCCTGGACGCTGCTCCGCTCCAGGAGGTGAGCGGAGGTGTGGCCCGGGAAAGGGGGCAGGGAGGCTGGTGGCCCGGCTGTCCCGCGCCCCGACCCCGTCCAGTTTCACAGAGGGGGAAACTGAGGCGCAGCCGGGCTGAGGACATGCAGGTCACAGCGTGGGTCCCGCCCCTCAGAGCCCAGTGTGTCTGTGGTTCCGCGGAGGGCTGGATGGCCAGGCGGGCAGCCCGCAGCTCCTGATCGGTTTCTCCATCTTGGATGTGGCAGGAGTCGTTCTGGAGACAGCCAGCTGGCCATGGCCTGCCAGGAGGAGGCCGCCCAGGACACGGCCTACGACCGTCTGCGGACGCGCAACGTGGAGTACGGCAGCGAGCCCAGCCTGCTGGCCACAGAGATGTGCGTTCTGTGGGCCAGGCAGGGAGGAGGGCGTGGGGGCGGTGGGGGCCGAAGGGGGAGCCGTGGGCCCAGCCAGGGCCGCTGAGCTTCCCTGCACAGAATGTGCCGATCCGCTACGACCATGGCTCTGGGCGTGTGCACGCACACGCATGTGCCTGTCCTGGGGTTTGAACTCAGGGCCTAGGCGCTGTCCCTGAGCTTGATTTTCCCCTCTCAAGGCTAGCGCTCCACCACGTGAGCCACAGCTCCTTTGCTAGCTTCTTGGCGGTTCATTGGAGGTTAGAGTCCCATGGACGCTTTTCTGCCCGGGGCTGGCTTTGAACCGTGATCTTCAGATCGCACTCTCCTGAGTAGCTGGGGTGACAGGCGTTAGCTACTGGCGCCCTGCTGACCGTGACTTGTCACAAGATAAATAAATAAATGGAATGAAAACATAAGAAACCCTATGGAAAAGTAACTAAAAGCAAAACCAACAGAAGGCGTAGCACGGCTGACTGGTGATAAACAGCATGGGTGTGTGCAAAGATCGGGACCTTGCTGGTTCTTGAGTCTGAGGCCTAGGATTCTCCCACCTTCCTGTGTGCTTTGCAACGCCTCAGCTCAGAAGTGCCGGGCTGGGGCCGGGCACGGTGTAGCCTGGGTGGTTGAAACCAGCCTGGGCAGCACCCGAGGCAGCTGGGCGTGGGGGTTTCCGTCTGGGGGTCCTGACGCCCACGCGGCAGGGCGCCTTGGGCGGGAGGGCAGGCCCCTCCTCCTGGCGGCGGCAGGCTCGGCTTTCCCGGGGTGGCCCGTGCGGGTCTCAGGGACAAGCCCCGGCTCTCTGTCACAGCCTGCCCTCCCAGGATGACGAAAATCGACAACTCACACCCCCAGAGGAGGAGAAGAGGGACTTCCGGCAATCCCCGAAGAGAGGCTTCCTCCGCTCTGCCTCCCTGGGTAAGGGGCGCCTTGTTCCCTGATTCCCCGTGGACCGGGGCGGGAAGGTGGCCAACCGGGCGGATCCGAGCTCGGAAGGCCTCCGCGCACCGGCATTGCCACCCGACGGGGCTCCGGGGGAAGCCCAGTGCGCCGTCTGTCCTGCAGCTTTCCCACACGATGCCAAAATTGCCTTGGGGCAGTCACGTTTAAAAAGGGAGCCGAGAAACCGATTTTAACACCTGCCCAAAGGAGAGACAGAGGCTCCAGCCCCCAGTCCCCCGCGAGGCGGTGCCCGGGGCCTCAGGCTTCCCACCGGCCTCACCTCCTAAAGCGCCTGCCGCGTCCCAGTCCCCAACGCCGCACAGGGACCGGGCCTCGGGGCGGCAGCTGTGGCCGGGACAGGGCAACCGCGCGGGGACCGGGCCTCGGGGTGGTGGGGACGGGGCAGCCGCGCAGGGACCGGGCCTCGGGGTGGTGGGGACGGGGCAGCCGCGCGGGGACCGGGCCTCGGGGCGGCGGGGACGGGGCAGCCGCGCAGGGACCAGGCCCCGGGGCGGTGGGGACGGGGCAGCCGCGCAGGGACCGGGCCTCGGGGCAGCGGGGACGGGGCAGCCGCGCAGGGACCGGGCCTCGGGGCAGCAGGGACGGGGCAGCCGCGCAGGGACCGGGCCTCGGGGCGGCAGCTGTGGCAGGGACGGGGCAGCCGCACGGGGACCGGGCCTCGGGGCGGCAGGGACGGGGCAGCCGTGCGGGGACCGGGCCTCGGGGCGGCAGCTTTGGCCGGGACGGGGCAGCTGCGCGGGGACCGGGCCTCGGGGTGGTGGGGACGGGGCAGCCGCACAGGGACCGGCCGGGACAGGGCAGCCGCGCGGGGACCGGGCCTCGGGGCGGCAGGGACAGGGCAGCCGTGCGGGGACCGGGCCTCGGGGCGGCAGGGACGGGGCAGCCGTGCGGGGACCGGGCCTCGGGGCGGTGGGGACAGGGCGGGCCGCGCGGGGACCGGGCCTCGGGGCGGCAGCTCTGGCCGGGACAGGGCGGGCTGCGTCCTTGCCGGTGGCCTGACCTGGGTCATGGTCCCCCTCCCCCCCGCCCCCGCCTCGTAGGTCGAAGGGCATCCTTCCACCTAGAGTGTCTGAGGCGGCAGAAGAATCAAGCAGGAGACGTGGCTCAGAAGACGGTCCTGCCGCTGCACCTGGTCCACCACCAGGTACGCACCCGCGCCTCCGAGCAGCGCCGGGCACCCCGCGCCCGCCCTGGGGTCCCGGAGCTCCCGGGCAGCCCTGCCTGCGCCACCTCCAAGGCGGCCTCGCCCGCCCCAGACTGCCACGCTCACTTACACACCGCCCGCCACGCCTGCGCATCCCTTGCCCTGCTCTTTCACTGGCATTTGAACGCCAACCAAACCCCCAGGGCAGCACCAGGTGGCCAGAGGGGGCTGGGCTCCATCCCTCCCCGCGGCTCCGTCTCCCTGGGGACTGCGGTCCCAGGCCAGCCTGGGCGAAAAGCAAGACAGGGTCTCACAGCCGGGCACCAGGACTCCCGCCCGGCTTCCCAGCCACTCAGGAGGCTGAGATCTGAGGATCGCGGTTCAAAGCCAGCCAGGACAGGAAAATCCATGAGACTATGATCTCCAATGAACCACCAGAAAGCCAAAAGTGGAGCTGTGGCTCACGTGGTAGAGCGCTCACCTTGAGCAAAAAAAGGAAAAAGCCCAGGCCCCAAATTCAAGCCCTAGAACCAGCACACACACGCGCACACACACATGCACACACACACACATATACACGCATCCACACACATACACACGCATGTGCACACATACACAAGCACGCGCACACATGCACGCACAAACACACACGCGCACACATGCACGCACATATACACACACGCACACATGCACACACACATATACACACAGGTACGCACACACACATGCACGCACACACACACGCGCATACACACATGCACGCACACACATATACACACGCACACATACACGCACGAACACATACATACACACACATGCACGCACACATACATACACACGCATGCGCACACGTGCACGCACACACATGCACGCACACACACACTTATACACAGATGTGCACACACATGCGCACGCACACACATATACACACGTGCATGCACACGCGCACACACGCACACACACGCACTCACATGCACTCACACACATACACGCACGTGCACACACACACATATACACACATGCGTGCACGCACACATGCACACACATACACACGCACGCACACCTGCACGCACACACATACACACACGCACGCGTGCACACACACACGCACGCACAAGCTGGAGTGGGCGGGGCTCAAGCCTAGAGAGTCTACCAGAACTGAACCAAACAAAATATTTTTTTAACCCAGAATTTATCTTCACCCTTCTGGTTTGATCAAGACAGTGGGTGAGAAATTGTTTTTAGCGGGGCACCAGTGGCTCCCGCCCGTCATCCTAGCTACTCAGGAGGCTGAGGTCTGAGGATCAAGGTTCAAAACCAGCCCAGGTAGGAAAGTCCAAGAGACTCTGATCTCCAATAGACCAATAGAAAGCCGGAAGTGGCGCTGTGGCTCAAGTGGGAGAGCGCCCGCCTTGAGCTGAAGAGCTGAGGGACAGCGCCCAGAGCTCAGGCCCCACAACTGACAAAAAAAGAAAGAAATTGTTTTGTTTTGCCTCTCTGCCAACGCCCCGCCGCGCAGCGCCGCCCGCCCCTCCCTGCCTTTCCCACAATGCACTCTGCTCTCTCCCGCAAACGGGAGGCGCAGCACCTGACGCCGCGGCGGGCCACGGAGGCAGGCGGGAGAGGCCGTGGTCCTTGGCCTCCTCGGGACGGAGGGGCAAGGCGCCCGTGTTCATTACAACGCCGTGGCCCGGCCGCGTGTCGCGGGGCGGGCTGGGGTCTGCGTGGTGAGGCCCGGTGAGCCGCGTGGCTTCGGCCACGGCGGAGCAGGTTTGCAAAGCTAGCCGGTGGGGAAGCCGTCGCTGGGATGCCCCTCCAATGTCCCCGAGGTTGCTGAGCTGGACGCCGGGGCTCGGGGGGTGCGGACGGGGCCCGGGGGCAGCCACGTGGGCCTGGCCTGCGGGTGACCGCTGTCCCTTGTGTCCGTCCGTCTGTCCGCAGGCGTTGGCCGTGGCCGGCCTGAGCCCCCTGCTGCAGAGAAGCCATTCCCCGGGGGCGCCGCGGCCGTGCGCCACGCCCCCCGCCACGCCGGGCGGCCCACGCGGCTGGCCCCCCCGGCCCATCCCCACCGTGCGGCTGGAGGGCCCCGAGTCCGGCGAGAAACTCAACAGCAGCTTCCCGTCCATCCGCTGCGGCTCCTGGGCCGAGGTGACTGCGGAGGGCGCGGCGGGCGGCGCAGCCGTCCGGAGGTCGCGGCCCGTGTCCCTCACGGTGCCCAGCCCGGCCGGGGCGCCCGGCAGACAGCTCCACGGCAGCGCCAGCAGCCTGGTGGAGGCGGTACGTCGGCCCATGCGGGGCGGGGCGGGCGGGGGGCGGGGGGCCCGGCCCCGGCACACGCCGGTGGCTGCGGCGCGGCCCACGGAGCCCCAGTGACCGCCCCCCGCCCCCCTCAGGTCTTGATCTCCGAAGGACTGGGCCACTTCGCCCAAGACCCCAAGTTCCTGGAGGTGGCCACGCAGGAGCTGGCGGACGCCTGCGAGCTGACGGCGGAGGAGATGGACTGGGCGGCGGACAGCCTGCTCAGCGGGCGCGCGCAGCCCAGCGCCAACGGCCGGCTCCTGGCCTTCGTGAACTGCAGGGACCCGGGGCCGGCCCGGGGGGGCGGCCAGGGGGACCCCCGGGACGCGGGCCCGGCGGGCCCAGACGAGGAAGCCGCCGCCCCCGCCGGCAGCAGGGCGCAGCTCAGCAGCCTGTAGTCGCGGCTGGGGGGGCCGCCTGCGGGTCTTTCTGTCCTGTTCTGTTTTTAATTTGTCTCGATGTTCCTAATGGGTTCGTTTCAGAAGTGCCTCACTGTTCTCGTGACCTGGGGTTACCCGGAACAGCGTCTTCATCCGTTCTGTTGAGGGGGGAGTGGAGAGTTGGGGGCGTGGGGGGGGTGGGAGGTGGAGGCCAGTGGTGGGAGGCCCAGAAGGTGGAGGCCGCCAGGGCTGGAGGACCCGGGGCGCGCCACCCGTGTCTTCACTACGCTTGTAAAAACAAACTGTTTGCACATATTCTGTCGGGGCCTCTCAGGGCCTGCGGGCTGAAGGAAGGGAGGAGGGAGGGGGAGCTGCCGGGCCTGGAGTCCCCTCGGAGCCCCCCGCCCGCCCCCGGCCTGGGGTCCCCTCCGCGCCCCCCCCCGTGGTCCCCGGCTGCTCCCCTCCCCTCCCCCCCCCCCAATTTCTGGGATCGCATGCTGCTGCTCCCGTGAACATCACTGGGGTCTGGTTTTGTTTTTCATTCCATTTTATTTTCTGTCGCTTTCCCTCGGGAGGGGGGAGAAGGGCAGTTCCGTGCGCACAGGCCCCCCCTACTTCACCCCAGAGGGCAGGACGCGGTCAGGGCCCCGAGTTACCGGGTCTTCTTCCTTTCAGGTCGGGCTTGGGGTTACCACTTGCAGGTGGGGGGAGCGGGGGTGTGGGGGGGGGGCCTGCGTCTGTGTGCCATGCCCCTGGGGGCTGCGAGGATCCCCTGAGCACCCGCTGCTCCCGCGTGTGGAGATCCGGACCCCGGACCATTGGAAAGCAAAAACCAACCACAGTCTGCTTCTGAAACGAGAATCTAACCCAACTCTGCGTCTTCTGCCCCACAAGATATGCAAAAACAATGCAATAATATCCTTTTTTTTTTTTCAAAATACAATTGTGAGTTGTGTTGGCATTAAAACTGTATATAAACAATAACAAAAACCCACGGACATTGGAGGAGCAGGAGTCTGGAGCGGGCGTGGCGCTCGGTCCGCTCCGGGCGCGGCCGGCACCGGCTCCGCAGAGGGATGGATTACACTTGAATTCAGGTCAGTTTCCGCATTTTTCCACCATTTTTCAAGCGCTGACTTGCTGTTGTGCGAGACGGTGCGCGCCGCGTTTGTCTCTGGATCCTCTTCCTGTGCACAGCGCTGCCCCCACCCTTGGCATCCGGAGCACAGGCCGGGCGGTCCCTTCGTGGGAGGGTCACCGGTGACCGCCCGCGTGACTGTTTTGCATATCTTGTGTTTGTTTCCCTCCCGCTTCGATCCCCGCCCCCCAAATTCTGTGACGGGCGCCCCATCGGACCCCTTCCTTGCTTCGCGGGCTCCTCCGGCCCATAGTTAACCCGACAGCAATCCGCGTGGAGGAGGAAGAGGCCAGCTCTTGCGGTCGTTCTCAGCGTGGACTTCGGGCCTCTGGGGTTCATCGGCACGCTGCGGGCGTGGAGCGCGTGGCCTGGCGGGGGGGGGAGGGCGATCGCTCTGTTCAACCACAAGTCCCTCGGTGACCCCCCCCCCACTCGGGCCGCGCGTGGGCCTGGGCCTCTCCCCACCTTTGTTCCCTCGTGGGCTGCGTCATCGGAGGCGTGCGGCTGGTCGTGCGGGCCCACCCGGGTTCCGGGACGCCCCGGCCACCCAGGCCTCACCGTTCCCTCGGTGCCAGCCGAGGTGGCTTCGCGGCTCAGTTTCCCAGCGATGTCTGCCACGGTGCCGCTGTCTGTGGCCAGGACCGCCATCCTTTTCCACCGCCTGCACGCGGGTAGGAGCGGCCCTCCCCCAACAGCCGATCTGGGAGGCCCAGCCCCGTCCGTCCTCCACCTTCTGCAGGAGCACTCCAGCCGGCTCCTTTCTGCCTGATTCTAGAAGGTTCCTTGGGCCGTGTGGCGCAGAGACTTTTCCTAGGCCGTGGCTTGATTCGGACGCGGTGGGTAACCCCCCTCCAGGCCAGGGTGGAGGTGCTGGTGGGCCTCGATCCCCCGCTGCCTCCCGTGCTGGTCTGCGGTGCGACGTCCGGTCCATCTAGGGTCCCTGGCTGACGGCGGAAGGCAGGGCCGGCCGCCAGAGCACCCCGGCTCGGCCACAGTCACCCCGGGAGTCGGGGGCCCTGCCAGCTGCCAGCACCCCCCCCTCCTCTGAGGCCCGAGGACCGGAGCAGGACCCAGTCAGACCCTGTGCCCCGCTGCAGGGGTGAGGGCCGCGGCTGGGCTCCTGGGCTCTCAGACCCCAGGGGAGTCGGCAGCGGTGGCTGGTCTGTGAGGAACCGTAGGGAAATGGAGGCAGAGAGGAGGTGCTCCACCCCCCCGACGTGCCCGCCCCGTTCCTTGGCCAGCCAGGGTTCTCCAGGATTTGCTTTGGAAGAGGAGGAGAGATTCTAACCCGGGGCGGAACCAACCCGCCCGCGGGACCGGAGGCCGCTCCGAGCCGGGCCTGAGCCGCCCCCACGGCCGCCTCCCACAGCCGCGTGGAGGCCGGGGAGGGGAGCGCACGCGCAAGCCCCGCGGAGCTGCCCTGCCCCCCACTGTACCCCGCAGCCGAGCAGGAGCACACGGTGCCGTGGACTTGCTCTGGCTGCAGACTTGCTCTGGGCCTCATTACTTTAGTGTTCGCGGCGAGGAAACATGGTTTGTGGTTCCAGATAGCAGTGCGTGGGTCACTTCCTATTGCTGAAAGACTCCACACGCGCGCACACACACACACACACACAGTCCATGCACACATGCACACATGTACACGCACACACCTGTGTATGCAGACATGCACACGCACACACACACACACACACACACACACACACACAAAGTCCCAAGACTGAGCTCCCGTACAGGCCGCGGAAGCGACCTCGCGGGGCAGCGTCTGAACCTATTGTTCTCCTTGTCATGAAACAGATGCTTGAATCTACAATAGGAACAGACCGAGGCCTTGTCCCCGCTCCTCCGGCGGGGTCTGGATGTGGCGTAGCGTGGCGTGGCGTGGCGTGGGACGGCCGGAAGGTCCTCTCGCTTCGGCCGCATGCCGTGTGCCGCACACACAGCCAGAGCCAGACTTGGGGTTTTCCTGTGAGAATTCTTCGGACATCGAAACAAGACGGAGCCGAGGGACACACGCTGCCGGGTCACAGGGCCGGGGCTGGGTCCCCCCACCGCCCCGCCGGCCGCCCCGTCCTCCTCAGCTCAGTCTCTCAGGGGCCTGCCGGGCCGGGTGCACGGGGCAGTGTTCAGAATGCAAGCCTGAGTTGTGGGAAGCTTCTGGAATGGGTCCCATGTCACATCTGGCACTGCAGACTCGCCATCTGAGACAATCCCTCCTGCCCGACCCCCAGGTCCTGGGGAGTGGGGAGGGGGGGCGTGGAGGAGGGGCGTCCCTCGAGAGGAAGCCCCCTCCAGAGTTCCTGGGCTGGGGTCCTTAGAGCCCCAAGTTGCCCAGCAGCGGGGCGGGGGGGGGGGCGGGGTAAGAGGGGACGGGGGAGGTTCACCGCCTTGGAAGCCCCGGGGCAAAGTCTCTGCTGGGCCTTCGGCTCCCCCGGGAAGGCAGTGCGGTGGGCCAGGGGCTCCACCCAGACCCCTGCCACCCCAAGCCCGCCACGCTTCCCCAAACTTCCTCACCCGCCCGCCCCGCCCCTCCCTGCCCCACACAGGCCTTTCTCCCCCCAGAGAGTCAGAGACAGAGACAGTTACCAGGGTTTGGTTGAGAACAAGCTATGGACACAGTTCGCTGAGAAACGGGGCGGGGTCCCCACAGACGCCCACCATGGAACTGTTGATCCCTTCCAATCCACCAGAGCCACCAAGCAGAGGGTCTGGACGAAGCCCCCCCCTCCCCCGGCACAGAAAGACGGGAGCGCCCGCGGCCCCCCCCCACGCCTGCACCCCGGCCTGGCCCCCCAGGATCCACGACGCCGCAGTCCGACTGTTGTAAATACTGTTGTACAGTTTGTAACCGCCGGCGACCGGCCATCCAGGGTCCCGCCCGCCCAGCCGCGCTCTCCTGGCCAGGGAGCGAGGCCGGAACCGAGGAGGGAGAAGAAGGCTCCGGGCCTCTGTGTGAGACGCTATTGTATATTCATGTAAGATTGCATTTTTATCTAAGGAATGATGTTATTTAAAAAACAAACAAAACCCACAAAAAACAAGAATTGCAAATAAATTTCTTAACAATGTCTGTCTGGTGTGCTGCCCCTCTCCCCCGCCCAGCCCTTCTCCTCCCCCAGGGGCCCAGGGCCCGAGTTCAAACCCAGAGATCAGAAAACAAAACAGAACAGGCCCTCCCTTCGGGGCCCAAACTCCTGCGTCCACCCCAAACTGACCCACAGAAGGCAGCGCCCAGGACGGCCGATGGAGACCGGGGGCGGGGTGCTGTGCGCCCCAAACCCTGGACGGTGCAAAGCAGAGGAGGGCGCTCGGGCCCGGGGAGCCCTTCCCACACAACTGCTCCAACGGCGTCCAGACGCCGCAGAACCCAGGCAGGGGCGGCTCCCCAGGCAGCTCTGGTGTCTGGAGGGGGGGGTGGATTCTCAAAACTAGGGGCTGACGCAGAAACATCTCAACTGTACCTTACAAAAGCTGCCACAGCCAGGCGCCCGAGGCTCACGCCTGTGATTCCAGAGGCTGAGCTCTGAGGACCAAGGTTCAAAGCCAGCCCAGGCAACTACAAGAGATTCTTACCTCCAAGGAACCAACAAAAAGCCAGACGTGGAGCTGTGGCTTAAGCAGCAGGGCCAAGAGCCTTGAGTGAGAAAGCTCAGAGACAGTGCCCGGGCCCCGAGTTCAAGCCCCAGGACTGGCACAAGGGGGGGGACTATCAGGGAGTGGACACGTTTGCGTGTGGGTGTTCATGGGCAGGGATGGACAGACGGAGGCCTCACTGTGTGAATCCCAGCAGCTCAGGGACACTCGTGTGCGGGAAGGGCCGGGGTGCGCACTCGGGGGCCCTGCACGGCAGGCCTGTCTCACACCGAGGGGCACAGTGCCT